TTTTTACATGAAAAATTTTTCTATTTAAATTAAATTTTTTCATTTTATACGGTTAATTCTTTAATTTTTGCGATAACACTTAATTGAGCAAGAGAATTGAGCAAGGTAACGCAACTTTGTGGTAACGTTTTGTATATTATTTTGAAAGAGAATTAAATACTCACTACTTTAATTGGAAGAGAAAATGGCTTTGTGTGTGAATGAATTGTGATACAATAATTTCATTTAAGAGGAATTTAAACCATTTGGATTGGAATAGAAAGATCCTTCAGTAAGATATATGTACACTTAGGTTTCATTGTATAAAAATTAAAGATTTATTTGGATTAAGTAAATAAAGAAATGGGATTCGGCGCCAGTTCTTGATATATCAAACCCTTTATAGGAATGATACATATCATTAAAGTCAATATTATTTATTTAATTTGGTATCCCAATTACATGGAATTTAACTTGGCGCCAATTGTTGATATCAAATCATTTTTACGATCGATACATAAAATTTTGAGGAATTTAACTTGGCGCCAATTTTGTTGATATAAAATCTTTTATATGAATGATACATATTATTACAGTTAAGTAATATGTACAAAGGATCGGTTTCACCAACCCAATTAAGCCGAATCAACCATAAGTGTCAACCATAAGTGGTCAATTCCACTAAACAGCAAACGCGATTAGTCAGTTCCATGGCGAATTAGGTAATTGGCGTTGGTGAAACCGGCCCAAATAATTTTTACGAAAAGCACGCACGCTTAGCGCTTTTTTTACCTTTTTTTAAAAAGGTAAGCTTGTATAAATAACAGGAAACAGTACCATTTGTGTTTTACTTTTTAATTTGATAGATAAAATGTAATATTATATTCAAAGGACCGGTTTCACCATCATATTTACATCATATATCATAAAATATACGGCTACAAAAGCTGGAAGTATGTTGTTGTATAATGAATAGATAAACTCTTGTTTAGTCTCGTATATTTACAGCGTTTTTCAGCCAATACATCTTCGAATAATAATTCGTCGTTCGTAGTTTTTTCGGTTTCTATCGATGCTATATCTTTCCCCCCCTCCAAATAAATCTTCTTTATGTTCTTTATGTTCGTTTTCCGTATTATCAGGAAGAATTAAAGATTCTGTTTTTTTTTCTACACTTACGTAAAATTTCTTCCTGCAATGATTTCATATCTAATTCTTTTATCACGTATTCCATATTATTATTTATATATACAATTAATGATCGATAATATGTATTTTTGTATATTATGAGAATCGTCATGATGAATCGTGAATATAATCTTATTGCTTTTTGCATCACAAATAATACTATATTCAAGTGATATAAAATGACGTAATAAAAAGTAGGTTGTTGAATTAGTATGTTATTTTTGTAGATATTTAATGAAAAAGTTATGAGTACTGAATGATAAACCCTTTTCTACATTTAATTTATGAAGAAAAAATATACACACGTCTATACATATAAAACACAAAATGCTGAAAAAGGAGAAAATAACCGTAAGACTACATTAATTTATACGTGTATGTTTTAGATATAAATTATATATTTTTTAAATATAAAACATAATGTTTTAAAATCCTAAAATGTTTGTTACCATATAATTTCATTGCGCTACATATATTTTTTACAAATATTTGATTTAAGAAATACGTATTTTTTTATTATAAAAACATAATGTATGGAAATAATAAGAATATGGAAAAATATTTTATTTTTAATCTGTAAAAATATATGTAAAATATAAGTACTACTAAAATATAAGAAATAAAATATAAGTACTAAAATTTAATAGTTTTTGATGATTATTTTCTATAGGGTTTTTTACACATATTTCTTTTGTATTACAGTCTACTTCATCTTATAATAATGAAGACGAAAATATTGGACCTTTTATATTTCATGTTTCAGCAGTGTATAATGATAAAGTTAAAATTCATGATTGGTTAGTACTGCAATCTATTTTTATTTATTAAAATAAACCTAATAATGCAACAAATATTCAATAATTAAAACATCTGTTAATACTTTAGAGATAATATATGACAAATACTTTTTTATCTATTTTTAATTAGGTTATATTTAACTAAAATTTTATTTAAGATTTAAAAGATATTTAATCTTAAACAATATAAATGTTATAATAAACAATAACATTATTTAATATCAAAGAATTGGAAAGAGTAAGAGCACTAGGAGTCAGGCGCAAAAGACGTCGCGCAAATAATACACTTATAAAGAATGAAACTTCTTTATTCACTAAACGCGCTTACATGTTTTGGCTTACTTTTTGAGCCTTCTTCAGAGCAAACACACAAACTAACATATATAAACTAAAAGTTATCCTGTCATGGTGAGCTCCCCTACATCGAGAATTTAAATGGTGGGATTAACCAAAAAAGAAAAAGAAAGGAAAAAGGGGAAATATTGAAAAAGGGGAAATATTGAAAATGTCGAATTAGAAAGTATGGAAACTAATTTATCAAAAAACTTTAAGAATATTTTCCATATTTTCTAATTCGACATTTTCAATATTTCCCCTTTTTCATTATTCCTTTCTTTTTCTTTTTTGGTTAATCCCAGCATTTAAATTCTCGATGTAGGGGAGCTCACCATGACAGGATAACTTTTAGTATATATATGTTAGTTTGTGTTTGCTCTGAGGAAGGCTCAAAAAGTGACCCGAAACACGTAAGCGCGTTTACTGAATAAAGAAGTTTCATTCTTTATAAGTGTATTATTTGCGCGACGTCTTCTGCGCCTGACTCCTAGTCCTTACTCTTTCCAATTCTTTGATTTGTAAGGAATCTTGATTAGTTTGATTTATTAACTGATTATTTAATATTTCTTGCAAAACGTTTTTGATTTTTTTCATATATTTTTCTTATATTCTTTCTTATATTATTTTTCTTATATTCTTTTTTATATTGCAAGTTTTCTTAACTTTCTATTTTTCTTATATAAATTTTCTAACTTTCTAATTAAATTCTAATTAATTTTCTAAATGATCTATTTATTTCTGTAAGAAAAAACTTTTACGTGCGAGAATTCATTTTTTTTACTGAAATCTTTTTCAATAAAATAATTTTTTAAATAATGATATGTTTATTATTTACATGGATAACTTATGATACAATTGTATATATTCAAGCTTATTTACACACGCATTTATACATGTATAAGGAAACATGGGGGAGTAGTTACCATGGAGAAAACCATACGTTGTTAATCATAGCAACGTAATACTTTATTTCACACCTTACAAGAATATTCATGTTTTTGTGTATGGTTATTTAACATAGAGAGTACAAGTAATTATGTAATATTTGAATCAATTAGCGTGAAAATAACTATTATTTAAAAAATATTACTTTGCATCACGATAAATCTTTATTGTTGTCAGAAAAAATAGAAAAGTGAGTATATGCACATATAATATATGCAATCTATACAATACGTATATACAGGGTGTCTGGAAATTACCGCCAAATGTTTTGTGCGTGGGTAGAACAGACTATACTGAGTCGGAAAGTCCTGTACCATTTTGTGGTGTCAGCAATAATTAACGAGATATTAATTACTAAATATAAATAGTAATAAGGCTCTACGATCGTAAATAAATTCAAGTAAAGAACGGGCAAAGAGCCAAAGTATAAAAAATTAACAACACATATATAT